AAAGAAAATATAGAGCAACCTGGTAAAGTATTACTATCATCATAGCGGGAATACTTATCTCTAAGGTTTTTTTTTTTCTGAGGCGTGCGATAACTTTATTTTATTTTTTCTTTTCTTACGTCATTTTCTCATTTTTTTTTTTTTAAAAACTTTTTAAACTCAAGGTACAAGTAATTTACAACCGCCATCAGTGTCACGAATTATCCCAACAAAAAGAGTGCTAGATATAGAAGAGTTACTTCTTGATTCTTCAAAGCGATACAAATTTTTTTTGCTATTTATTCTATTTCAAGTTTTAAAGAATTGAGAATACTGAATCATTATTGGGAAAATCCTTATTCAAGACCGCTAATCAGCGAATTGTTGGAAACAACTAATTGATTTTAATGACACTGACAATCAAAACACAGAGTTGATTAAATCATTTCTTTTTACTTTGGAGGGTTGACCTTTGCAAAAGATCACAATATCTCTGCCATTACCATGAAATCTATCATGCAATATTTTAATAATTTTTTTTAAGGTAACTAATTACTTTCCGTAATTCCAAATTAAAATTATTTTATCTTAAATTTAAGGATTATTTATTAAGATATGAAAAGCTCGACTGAATTTAGACTATTTCATCAAATTCATTATTGGCAAGAATGTTCTAAAATAATTCTATTTGTATTAATGAAGTATTTTATTTAAAATCTTTCTTTATATATTATAATAAATCGTATATATAATATCTCTTATACAAAAAAATTCCTAATTACTTTTCTTTGATATAGTTAATATGGCAATATATTTATTTATCCTAAATATAAGAAACAACCTTTCCATTTTATTCTTTCAATAACAAGTAATACCGTCAATAACCGAACTCAAATGTTCAATTTCTCTGCAATTTTACCACAAATCGCAAAATTCATGGACATTCAAAATCACTCCATTCCTAAAATCAATGCTTTGATAACACCGTCATTTCCTTCTTTAACTGTTTCAAAAGCTTTTACAGCGTTTTGGAAGTTAAATCTATGAGTTATAAGAGGCTTCAAATTAATTAATCCAGCGCTAACTAATTGTATAGCCTTTTTGTAAGTATTACAATAACGAAAAGATCCCCTAATTTTAATCTCACGAACTATAATATCGACCATTGGAATTGGCGCAACATTCTTACCCATTCCAATTTGCACAAAAGTTCCTCCTGATTTAGTCATCTAAATCAAATAAAATTAAAAAAAGGTTTAAACGAAATCTTTAAACATATTTTTTTTAATTGATACTTACATAAATACCAGTTTGAATAGAAGTTTCAGCTCCAGAACATTCTAATACAACATCAGCTTGTTCAACACCTGATTCCAATAATTTTTGTGAAAACATTTTAGAAAAATCGATTGAATTTAAACCTTGAGGAATAATACTTTCTGCTAATACGATTTCATTGGCTACATAGCTTTTTGCAAAATTTAACCTAGATTGATTTATATCAACCATTGTGACTTTAATGGCTCCCGATGCTTTCGCTACAGCTCCTGCTAATAATCCAACGGTTCCGGCACCAAATATCATTACTGTTTGACCTACTTTAAGTTCCGCTAATTTACATGCGTGAACTCCAACCGATAACGGTTCAATTAATGCTGCTTCTTCTAATGATGGAAAATTATCTGGTAATCTTACACAAAAATCTTCCGGACAATAATAATATTGGCAAAGTGAACCTTTTGATGATATACAAGGATAGAAAATAAAATATATGATGATTTATTATATAAATAACATTTGTTAACATATTATTAAAAGGTATGTACCATTAACTGGCGGAGTTGCAGCAAATTTCATATCTTTACACAAGTTATATTGGCCATGTTTACAAAAATGACAAGTATAACAAGGTACGCCAGGTTCAATTGCGACTTGATCACCAACTTTTAAAGTTTTACAGTCTCTTCCGACATTTGTCACAATGCCAGAGGATTCATGGCCTAAAACCATTGGTTCCCTTACTATAAAATCACCAATGTGACCATGAACCCAATAATGAACTATATTCAAAAGTAACGTGTATTAAATTAAAGGTACAAGAAGTTTTCAAAATTCATGAGATAAACCAAATTAAAATGGAGTCTAATACCGTCAGAACCGCAAATGCCGGTTGCTTTGACAGCTATTTCAACTTCATTAGATTTTGGTGCAGTTCGCAGACGATTTTCGAGCTGAATATCACCAACTTGTTGAAGAACCCATGAAATATTTGAATTATCTGGCAACATCTAAATGCCTAAAAAGAAAAACAACTCGTGAAGAGTTAAGGAATTAGGAAATTAGACGCTGAAGTTTTTAACCATACCTTTACGTAACACAAGATTGACGTGACAAAAAATTTTTCTAAGCCACCAAAATCTACAAATATACTACGAATCTGATTATTTGATTCTCGTCCTGAAGGATGAATTATCAAATTTACAAGCTTTTGCGTGCAATACGTCAACGTTCATTTAGAAGACCAAGTATGTTGGCGCGTTTCGTTTATAGTACTTATTCTTACTCAATTCAGAAAAGGATAATTTATGTATGCCTTATAGGTTTGGAAACGAGCATTCGCTCATTAAGTACCACTACAACTATACAACCCGAACCACGGTATTACGGCCAACCGACGGCGGATACTCATCCACATTTAATGAAGCCCGGTGAAAGTAAATTTTTTTTTTTTTTTAATTATTTAACTGAATATCGGTAAATTCCTCTTAATATTTACAAGGGTTTCTTCTTAAATTGAAAGTAACACCCGGGATATCAGCCATCGAGTATGAGTTAAGAAGAACAAGGTTAATGAAAAAGCTTCCGGAAAATAGCGTTGCCATATCGTTGGGATATCGAACAAGATACATGTCAAACAAAGTATTGTTAGTATATTATAGTATTATTGTAAACTTCAAGAGAATATCGATTTTTCTTTTTGTAATGAATTTATATTTAAATTTACAGATTTCAATCATAGAGTTTTTTTAATTTTAAGCAGATCAAAGCATAACCTTTTTTATACTCATAATCACATTGTTTGTTACTCTTTTGTATCTTAGTTATCCATTCCATCAGAACACAGACTTCTTTTATTTATGTGGTACGAAAGCATATGGGTTATGCCTTGTTTGAATTATTATATAAAAATTTAATAATAAATTTACATTCCTTTTTAGGTTTTAATGAACCAGACGCGGCTATGGTCTTAGGTACTTGGTTTTTTTTTTTTTTTTTTTTTTTTTTTGGAAAGCATATCTTACTTTCTATGATTTTAAAGATTTCTTTTATTCTTGCGCGAAATGTAAGAAAAGAATAACAGTCAAAGGGGTTATAAAATGACAATGTTTGTACCGCCAAAAAATCGAAGTATAGAAATCTGGGATGGTCCTAGAACAGGTCTGCTAGGTGCCGTATATATATTTGGTGCAGACGAGGTATGATGAACCATATTGAATTATCATTATAATTATGTACTTCAATTAATATATTATGAATTGTCGCGTTATTTTTTCCACAATGATAGGCTATGGAATCGTCTAGATTTAATTCAAAAATAAAAGAAATCGCAAAGAATTACAAAGACGTGTACATTGACCTCCCTCCACGAACAAATATTCTTTCAAGTGATAGTATTTCGAAAAGTATTAGCCGAACTCACGGTATTCCTTCATTTCATACACTTTCTTGTGGTTTTAAATGTATTCGAGATTATTAATTCGCCCTCATCGTCGACTATTTTTGGTTTTCAAGTAAAACCATTGAGTCGTATAGTTCAAGAATTGAGAATTGTTAAGAGCGATGCTGAAATTGCATTAATGAAGAAAGCTGGACAGATAACCGGCAAAGCATTCATAGAGGTATATGATCTTTGATAATTTTTTTTTTATTATTCAAATATAAATATTGTATTTGTTTAATTTATAATATAATTTGATCATAGGCAATGAAGTTTACAAAGCCTGGTTTGTCTGAACATGACTTATCCGCAAAAATAGAGTTTGAATGCCGGATTCGTGGAGCGCAGTACCTTGCATATGTACCGGTAGTTGCTGGAGGTATTAATGCCTTAACGATGCATTATGTAAGAAATGATATGCCATTGCGGTATGTCACTTGTAATTTCTTTTTTTAAAAAAATAAATAAATAAATAAAATAAAAAAAGTAAACTGCATTTATGGGTATTCATACTCATTTTTTTTTTTATATCCATAATATAGTAACGGTGATTTGGTATTAATGGACGCGGGTGGAGTAAGTATTTTCACATCGTGAAAAATGAATTATAGATATAGTTATATATCTCTAGTTTTTTTTAATAATTGTTAATAGGAATATCATGGATATGCTAGTGATGTTACGCGAACTTGGCCAATAAATGGTAAATTTTCGCCACCTCAACGCGAACTTTATGAGGCCGTGCTGAATGTCAATAGAAAATGTATAAAGGTATAATATATACCTTTAAAGTTGTGCTATCCTTCTATTATTATATATGCATTAAAAAAATTTTTTTTTCCTAAATGTAAAATAGCTTTGCACCGAAAAGCAAACCATTTCATTAAATGGTGTACACGAACAATCTGTTCAATTCATGAAAGAGGAATTAACAGATCTTGGATTCCATCTTGTAGAAGGGGTATATATACACTAATCAAAGGTTTCTCTTGATTTATTTATTTTTATTTATAAAAAACCATTTATTCTTATGATTTAGGACGTGGATCGAGTGTTATATCCTCACCATGTCGGACATTATCTTGGATTAGATGTTCACGATACGCATGACTTGGATCGTTCACGAACATTAAAAAATGGAATGGTGTTAACTATAGGTAAATGACACATTTTATTTGGGGGGTTTTTTTTTTCTTTTGAATTTTTTTTTTAGTTCTAATTTTCCAATATCCTTAGAACCTGGAATTTATATTCCCCCTAATAATGCTTACCCAAAGCAATATCATAGTATGGGAGTTCGTATAGAGGATGATGTGTTAGTTGGTGAAACAGATCCATATGTATTAAGCTCAACAGCGCCAAAAGAAATTGATGATATTGAATATTGTATGGAAAACTAATCTAATTAGAATGAAGTCATTAAAACATACCATAACAGTAATTTATAGATTGCATACGTTAAACAAAAAAAATTATATTTAATACGGATTATCATATGGGTTAATGATACATTTCCTAATGCCTACAATTACAATTTGATTTAATAAAAGATAATGATCATATGATATTTGAACGATTAGATAATACTGATGTAACTATATCAAGATAAGAAATATATAAGAAACAAATTAAGTAAATGAAATGAAGAAAATACGATAACTTATCTAATTTAAGAAAAGGTAGCCTAAACATACGTGACGATATGTTTATATAGAAGACGAATTTTAAAAGAAAATGAATTCGGGTAATAAGCTCAGTATTCTCAGCAACTTCTTTTGCAGACTTTTCTAATTCTGCGATTCTGACTCATTTAATTAAATTAAAAAATAATATAAATAATTCAGATTTTCGTTTTCGCCTCGATAATCATAGTAGCATTTATCATTTATTTTCCGACAATCGTTTCGGTATTCGTCAAATGATTGCCTTTGAAATTTTCATTTAAAAACAATCTTTTATTTAAAATAGCTAAGACAATATTATATGATAATAAAATTATATGAAATTACATATTTATGCATTTTATGCTAAAAGAAATCAGATATATTTACAAATAAAACTTATATCATTATATAAGTCTATGCAAATTATATAATATAAATTTTAATAAATTATATTAAAATAAAACTTATATAACTTTATAAAATATATTCTTATAAGCTTAAATAAACTTATTTAAAAATTATTTTTAAATTATTTTATAAAATAAAAATTTAAAAAAATATATAATTATTATCTTTACTTTTATATTTTATTAGATTATTTTATTATTTTTATTTCCATTTGATTTTTATATAATATTGATAGTAAAATTATATTATAAGCAGATTATTATAAAAATCAGATTTTACCAAATATCTTCAAAAACTAATATATAATAAAAATCAAAGTTTATTAAAATTTCAAAAATCTGATTTTCTAACAATTTTTTCATATGGTTTATTATCTTATATTTAATTGTATTGATAATATTCCTATATAATTATAATTTTAATTATTATTATTATAAAATATTTAAAAAAAAAAAAAAAACACTTTTTCTTACAAAAGATTATGTATTAATTCACTTAACTATAAAGTTAAAGATTTCAGTTTTTTTTATAAAACAGAATATCTATATAATATAATTAATCATATTATTCTAAATTTATAATTAAAAAAATATTTTATAAAATATTATAATTTTTTATTTTTTTTTTTTTTGATATATAAAGAAATTTTATAATAATTCCGAAACATATTAATAATTTGATTTATTAATATTATAATAATTTAATAATTATTATTAATATTAATATAATATATTATTATTATTTTTTTTAATATTAATAAAAAATTTTTCTAATATTATACATATTTTTTATTTAATTATTATCAATATTTCTATTATTTAATTTCCCAATTCCAAATTTTTAAATAAAGCAATTTTCCCTTTCCAAGCTAAGCATTCTCTCTCTAATTTCATTAAACCTTCCATAACTTCTTCTAATTTTGGATCATGTGATTTTACAATAATTTCATCCAATATGGAAGCATATTTATCCTTATATTTACTACATTTTTTATAAAGATTTAAAAGAATTAATAAAATGTAATGTAAAATAAAAATAAAATAAATCAAATAAACAAAATACCAAATTTTTGAACATTTAGCCGATCCTAATAAGCCACCATTTTTTTTTTGTGATGGTAAAGAGGAATGATATTGTAATCCATAAACCGAACTAATAACGTTTGATCCTTCTACATGAAATTGAATTACTAATTCTTCAGGTATTGCTGTACCAAACATCTAAGAATAGCAAAACCTTAATATATAGTTAAAGAGAGAGAAACTTAAAAAATTTTAATTACCTGAGGATCACAAATTTTATAAGGAAATAATTTTTCTTCATGAGCACAAACTAAAACTGATCGACTACTTAAAATGTAAATGAGGACAGAATCTAACAACTTAAGTAATGTCAGTGAAAAAGAATTTTATTAATAAGATAAAATTGAATCAACTTCCTTAACCTACCTCACGAGCACTTTCTTTTGTAAGATCTTTATTCGTATGTTCCAATGAATCTAAAGCCAGAGTAAGATAATTCTGTGCATCGACCAACTTTTAATTATTTGCACAAGAGAAAATGTGAATATTGTATTAAAATTTGAAAATATATCACTTTGATAAATGAATACGAATAAACTTTCTATTTAAGATTACTTGTTCAATAAAATATGGTTTTTTCGAATTAATGTTTAATTTAATCAAGTTGCCCCGATGGTAATTGGATAATTTTACAGATAATTCCTATAAAATTATAAAATTTAAGATTAAGAAATAAAAAATTTTAAAATAAATCCTAACCGAAATAGTAAAATAAAATACCCCTTTGATAATGTCGCTACCATCCAAAGTAATAAATCCTTTTAAAGAGTCACTACTAAAAAAAAAAAAAAAAAAAAAATTAAAATCAATAACTAAGAATTGTATCATAAAAAAAACAAAAATCGTACTTATTTGACGATATTGCCAGAGTACTTGTGCCTAGCGAATCTATTGCATGTAAAAGATAGTAAACATTTATTATGATTATAATAATCAAATGGAAATAAAATCTTACCGTCATGTTCAGGCGATTTCATAATCGCTTCACATTTCTATATAATTAATTTTTAATTTTAATAATCTTAAGATACAGACAACATCCAAAACACAAGTCGAGCTAATATATTACCTTTAACCCTTTCTTTATTTCATATAGTGCAGTTGGTAATTGAGAAACCAGCAACCAATCCAATTCTTTCGCCTAAATCAAATTACGTTAATATGGTAATATAAACAAGCAAATGTAAAAAAAATATTAAAGAAAAAGTACCAAAGTTTCTTGTTCTTTAGTTCGCGTGTCTTCTTCTACCTGATTCATTTTCTTAAAAAGCAATGTGGCCACATTATTCAGATTTAAAAATTAAAATACGCCATTTTTGTGAAACATGATATGCGATTAAAATTCGTTCACGTGTGTTTCAAATCAATATTTTATTTCTCGTTTCAATGTATACATAATAATAAGACAAATAAATAAAAATATAAATATTCCGCGCATTCAAACTTCCCTTTCTTATTTTAATATTAAAACGCGATTCCAAATGCTTTGATTCATCCCATAAATTCATTACTTGCAGCGTTCTAATATGAAGAAAAAGAATCACCAATAACGAAGATAAGTGCCATATAACAAAAATTTATCATCCCAAAATTCTACATTTCAAGGATCTTCTCGTTTCTTTCATAGTTTTGAAACCTTTGATAACATTCACAGATAACAAGTGATATAGATTAATCTGATCTCTCAAAATAACAAACCTTTATTGAAGAAATCGCGAATTATGCCTGCAGATAAATTTTCTTAATCACATTTATCCATTATCATTTAATTTTGGAGCCTCTATTATTATCAAACATATTTAGTTTCAAAACAACCGTAAACGAATAAACAATAAAAGCAAAACACTGAGAACAAAAAAAAGTAAATATAACAAAAAAAATGAAATTTCGATCAACACAGTTTTTATTGACAAACCGTGACGGTTAATAAAATAAGTCGAGAGACAGGAGAGAAGGAATCAATCCAATCTATCGTTTTCATGAACTTACAACATGGCATTATTCCGATCGTTTTTACCAAAAAATTTCGTTCGTCTTTGGCTAGACGTCCTTTTAATACTTGGTATAAATAAGTTATATTACAAAATATGAACTAACAAAAATTATGAAATGCATTTTAATTATTTGTTTATTTTACTTGGCTGTCGCCGGCTGGGCGGTTGATACTTGAGCGAGCGGAGGTTTTCTCAATTCGGCAAAGAAATCATTGCCGTTCGCCATTAAATTTCCTATATTGAAGGAAATTTTAGTATTAATATAATATGTTAATTATGATTATATTTAATATATATATGTGTGAATTATAAAACCTTTGATCCCCCAGACAGGTCCACTTCTAGCTACCCATGCCTTTTCAGTGGATTTATACATCTCTGGTTTTTCTAATGAAAAAAACGTATGTTTTTAGTAGAATTAAATTATGAAATAAATGCTTTTTTTTTCTCTTTAATTCATATTTACCAACTTCGGGAAGATTAATATCATGATATCGATCCAATGTTTCTTTCCAGGCTAAAAAGAAATTTATTAAATCAAATCATTGCTTTAAGAATTTGAATAGTTCAATTATTTTTATACTTACTATTATTCAAATAATTTGAAATTTCCTGAGAGTTAAAATGATTAACAGGAACGTGTTCTGGGGCTGGTTTCAAACTAGGTAAAGCTGGTCCAGGACCAGCAAATGACGTATTGGAAGAGGTTGAAGTTGGGGTTGTTGGTGGAGGAGTAACTGAAACTGAAGCTGGTGGTAGAGTATTATTGTGAAAGTCTTTATTTTTACCCGCTATTTTGTTTTGGAATTTTAAAGTTTATTCAATAAATAAATAAATAAATAAACAGGGAATAAGAAAAACGGAGCTTCCCCTTACCGAAAGAATTTTTTCGCTTGGAATTAGCATTGTAATCTTGTCTGTTTGGTTGTTTTTTGAAGCTATAAAATAATATAATTTGACAATAGATCAATAATCGCGAATAAACTGACAAAACTGATCAAAAGTAAGATCACACACTGCTGTCTATTATCATCTTGAGCACCAGCCATAATCTTAAAAGGTTATGGGTAAGAGTTTGTAATAAAGTAAAGAAAAGGTGAAAAAAAGAAAAAATGGAATAAGGAAAGAAATGTGAATAAGTGAGTGAATGTATTAAGATAAACGTCGCAAATGTGTAAGAAAACATAACTATTATGATAAGCTCCGGTCACGTGACTAACAATCCCACTCAATGTATAATTCTGGTTCTAAATCTCAGATACAAAATTGGTAAAAAAACAATTAACAAAAAGGGGATAGAAACTTATAACCTAATTTGGTAAGTAAGAATTCTTGAATTATAAGGATTATCATAATATTGATTAAAAATAGAAATAATAAAGAAAAATAGTAAAGTATATCTATTTTAAATAATATCTATAATGATGCTGATAAAATTTAATTTAAGTATAATTAAATTAGTTTTAAATAGCTTTAATTATAATTTTTACTAACATTTTAAATTGAAATGATAATAAATATTTATTTATATTTTGTTAGTAAATATTTTATAATTAATTTAAAATGATTTTATTGGTTTACTAATAATTATTATATGTAATATGTTGTTATGATTAGATTAATCTTTAAAAATATATGAATGCTTTGCAGTAAAAAGAGAGAAAACTACTCAAAAAATTTTTTTTTACTTTCTAAGCTAAATAATATTTTTTTTTAGTAAAATAAATTCATATTTAACATTAACTCAAAAAAATTTTTTTGGTAATTTTCTTCCTTTTTTTACTACAAAGCATTCATATTATCCTTTAAGTAGTATAGTTTTATAATTAAATTTGTTTACAATTTTAAAAATTAATTTGCTAATCATAAAAAAAATAAGAATTGATTAATAATTATCATTATTATAAATTTGTTATTAAAATCATATTTTATTAATTTATAAAAAATTTATAATAATAAATAAGTTTTTTTATATTTTTTTAAAATTATTTCTAATAATTAAAGATATTATTTATTATTTTTTTTAAAAAATTATATTTTATTAGTATGATAGTACTATTATTCCTTAAACTATATATATAAAATTATTTTTAAACTATTTTAAGAAACTTAAAATAATTTGATATCTAATAATTATAAAAAGATGAAATAAAATTTTTAGATTTATCATATTATAATATATCTAATAGCAGTATTTTTTTAACTTTTAAAATTAATAATTATCAATATATATTAATTTTCAATTTTTTAATTTTTAAAATTAATTTATTATTTAATAATTATAAAAATATTGAGATACAATAATTACCTTTGTAATATGTTTACCCTTTATTTTTAAACTCTTTTTCAATATAAAGAACTGCTTTTATAGTTTCTGATTTTCATATTCAAAAAGATTCCATAACTTTCAATTCTCTTATTTCATGAAAGAAGAAATGGATCCCTTCGCTGAAAGATGTAGAGCTTTATTTCTTGATCAATTCATTACTCAAGGAAATTTTTTAATGGAATACTATAATCTTTCTCTCAAAACCAGTAATCCTAATAGAGAAACTATCATAAGATAGTTTATCATTTTACAAAAAATTGTTCTTCTGAATCCCATATATTCAAACCATCTGAATATTATATTAATAATTTTACCTCTCAAGGCTACATTACTGCTTCCACCTCTAACAACAGAAAAAAATCTTTTTGAATAGTTCTATGGATACCACTAAAATAAAATATTACAATTTACCTTATTCTGGTCAAGACATTATTGGAAAAGCTGTTAGATCTCATTTTATTTTTAACAAAATTGCTATACAACACTATATGATCCTAGATCAGTATCTAAAAATAAAATCTTTTTACTCTATATTCAGAATATTCTTTTAACTCACTGGAACTTACTGGTCAAAATAGTCAAAACTGGCTAAAAATCAGATGGCTGATTTGCCATATTTTCTGATTGGCATAAATAGGTGTTGATAGATACTGATCGACTTCAATCAAACATGGCCATTCAGCATCAATTCAGAACTTAAATTCAACCATAAATTAGCCTAAAATTGGTCTCAATTCAGCAATAAGTTAGATACTGATCAATGCTGATCGACTCCAATCAGACAAGCAATTCAACTATGAATCAGCCTAAAATTATTTTCAATTTAGTATCAATTTAGTAACAATTTAGATGTCGATCGATGCTAATTGACTTCAATTAGACAAGCAATTCAGCATCAATAATCAATACATTTTATTTATTAAATTTTAAATATTAAAATTTTATTAATAATAAAACCTAATATAAATTTGCAAAAATATAAAAATATAACAAATAAAATATCACTAAAATCTACTGATTAATTTCCTATTAAAAATAGAATAATAAAATAATAAAATATAATTTATTTCCTTCTAAAATCCTTTTAAATCATCCTAAATATAGATAAATAAATAATATATGATAAAAATATGATCTATTCCTTCTGAAATTGCCCAAAAAATGTAAAAATAATAAATATAAAATGTAAAAAATAGAAAAATCAATCCAAAATCGCCTGAAATATGTAAAAAATAATAAAATTGACCTATTTTCACCCTAAATCATCTAAAAAAATAAGAAATAATAAAATTGACCTATTTTTACCCAAATCGCCCAAAAAAATAATGTAAAAAATAATAAAATTGATCTATTTCTACCCAAATCACCTAAAAAAATGTAAAGATAATTATTAAAATTAACCTGCTCCCACCCTAAATCGCCTTAAAAAATATAAAGATAATTATTAAAATTGACCTATTCCTACCCTAAATCGCCCAAAAAAAATAACATAAAAAAATAATAAAATTGACCTATTCTCACTTAAATCATCTGAAAAAATGTAAAGAAAATAATAAAATAATAATAAAATCAACCTGTTCTTACTCTAAATCACCTGAAAAAATGTAAAGATAATAATAAAAAATTGATCTGTTTCTCAAATTGCCTGAAAAAAATGTAAAAAATAATTAATAAAATCAATTTGCTTCCACTTCAAATTTTCTGAAAATTCATCATCCATTACAGGATTGTCTTCACTTTCTTTAACAGCAGATGAAATTCCTTTTCTGATTTCAGTATATTCCTTAGTTTCAGTTACATATTCTTCTGCAGTTATAACTTCTACTTCGATTTCAGTATTGTAGACTATATTAAGTTATGCTTTATATGATCACTTTGAAGCATTATAGGAATGTGATCGGTAATAATGCTATACATCATCATTGTATTTTTTCT